CCAAAAGAATTAGATTGTTTCCAAAAAAAAATTCTATCTGCTAATGGAATTTACTGATGCCGAAGATTCTTAATTTTATTTTACTATGTTACGTTAATCACCATACTTTACATCATTAGTTTTTGATGTGGTGTTCCATGATTCATTGTTTGCATGTAACACCCAGTGCTCCATGCAGAACGTGCCCTCTTTAATACCCATCACCAGGCTTGCCCATCCCCCCACCCCCCTCCCCTCTAGAACCCTCAGTTTGTTTCTCAGAGTCCCCAGTCTCTGGTGGTTATTTATTTGAGAGAGAGCTGGCAGAGGGGCAGAGGAGCAGGGAGAGGGACAAGCAGACTCCACACTGAGCAGGGAGCCCTGCATGGTTCTATCTCACGGCCCTGAGATCATGACTCGAGCAGAAATGAAGTGTCCGATGCTTAACCAAGTGAGTTGCCCAAGCATCCTAATAGGGGTCATTCTTAAAATAAAGTCTTGATTAAAATGGAATTTGGAAAAGATTGTCCTGTATTTTTATATGATTTAATCGTAAACCACAGAAAAATACTCTAACTTAGCTCATCAGAATATTCCTATCAGTTAGGTATAGTACATGAAAATCTAAAACCAAAACATTTTCTTTCCAATCAAAGATGATTCTAGCATTTCTTTCTGTGAATCATGAAGCATATTTGTCAATTATCTTTTTTCAATTTTCTTCCTGCTGTGTATGCTTTTTTGCTTCTACCCTGATTCTGATTACATGATATTAATAATGAATGCTGGCTGCTAAAGTCAAAGATTTTGATTTTATAAACCACACTCATGTATTAGAGTGTGTTTTAATCCTTTGGAAATGAGACATAGAGCGTGTGAGATACAATTACTGGTAATAGGAATTAATAGCATTTCTTTTGAAAATGAATTAAATTTCAATAATTTTTTTAAAGATTTATTGATTTATTTGAGAGAGAGAGAGCACAGGCACCAGTGGGGGGGAGGGGCTGAAGGAGAGGGTGAGAATCTTAAGCAGACTCCACTCTGAGTCTGGAGACCTACATGGGGCTTGATCCCAGGACTCTGAGATCATGACCTGAGCAGAAATTGAGTCAGTCGGGTAACCAACTGAGCCACCCAGGTGCCCCTAGATATTTTTTTTAATTTTTTTTTAAAGTAATCTCTATATCCAATGTGGGGCTCAAACTTACAACCCCAAGATCGAGATTTGCATGCTCTACTGACTAAGCGAGCCAGGCACCCCAATAATTTTTAATATTTTAATCATTAATAAATACTTTTTATGTTTGAATGAAAATATTTCAATCTAAAGCCAACATTTATTTGATAACTGCAAGAAAAATCTCTATGTATGGCTATATATTTATTACATTTTCCTGCCCTTCTTCTTATAGAAAATGTGATTAGGAAGGCTGTGGTGAAATACATAATATTGAACCTGGAATTCTTATATATTCTGAATCACAATCCTTGTGTCATCAAACAGTGGTTCAAAGATTAATAATATATCTGAACCACTGGGGATAGTTGGGGAAATGAAGTGATTGTAACAGACTGAGTCGCTTCCCTTAACCCTTTAGTTATGAAAGATCATAATTTTATTTATGCTCATGAATCAGCTTAGGAACAAAAGCAAAATTCCACTGCACATTTTGTTTTGCTCATTTTTGTTGGAGTTTCATTTCAGCCAGTCATCCAACAATAATTTTATTGAGTTTAGTACAGATAGATGTATTTTAGGATTTCTGAGGGCAGCAAATGATATAGGCCCTTGAAAAAGCTGAGAATGTCACTTCTAAATCAAAATACATATGAGAGAGCATGCAATCTTGATAGAAACACATTGCATCCATGGGCAGATGAACTGATATTTTATAAATAATTTCCAGCTACATTTAATACATGTTAGAACTAGTTCTCACCACTATTGCAGAGAGTTTCTTTTCCTTTAGCCCTATTTATTATAATCAAAAGCACAAGGAAGCTAAGGTAGAATAGAAACTTAGACGCTAAAAAAATAAAACTTAAAAATTAAGGCTTTCCAAGGTAGAATATTTGTGATTCTGTTTATTTTTTGTCTGTACTTTTGGGTTTGCTGAATCTTTGAACTTAATGTAAAGCATATTTTCAGACTTGCCCATCTTAACTGATGTGTTTACAAATACCTAAATTTTAGAGCTAAATGTAGCCTGATCTGATTTCTGAATGGTCATGGGACTTTGGCTTAATTGACTGGTTTGATTTTTCAGCTACTTTTATTTCCCTTGCCAAACATTCCGCTAGACAGGCTAACAAGAAACTAAATGGTCATAAGGCTGGGAGCCAGAAGGAAACGAGTGATAAGCAAAGATCTGGGTAGTACAAAAACTCGGTAACTGGCCACTGTAATTGAGAGTTGGCTGTGTGAGGCAGAATACATGTGACTACACTTAATGGATGCATTGGATTTTGCTAGCCTATTATTCTTCATAGAATGGTATTAAGGCAAGAACATAGAAAATTATAGTGATTTATAGAGAACATGCATATGAAGGATTTCATTCGTTCATTCATTCATTCATTCATTCATTTGTTCACTCATCCCTTCTTTTAATTTCAGATCAGTCTCTGGGACCAGTTTTTAGGCATTGGATTGATCAGTTCAAGAGAGATAGAAGTTTTCAGGGAAATGTTGAATCTTCCCTTTCTTCCTGAATATTGTTAAATCAAAGCTTAATTAGAATTTTGAAGAAGCAACTTCTAGAGGCTTAAGCTTTTGGCTAAATGACTTTTTAGACATTACCAGATTAACTAGATATATATGATGTGTTACCCAAAATATATAACTAAATCAGTACCTTATTGGAAAATAGATTGGTATATCGATAGTTACATATATAAAAATTATCTGAAAATTATAGAATTTAAATAATTTTTCTTACCTTTTAATAAATAAGACCTATAGCTTGGGATACATACAAATACTAAATATAGCAAGTATAACCTTCATAGTATCAAGCCATATAATTTGTAACTAGTGTGAATTAAGAGTTTTTACCTATGAAAGGAAAAAGCAAGCAAAGAAAGCTATTTTCTTTTTTTTTTTTAGTTTTATTTATCTGTTTGAGAGAGAGAGAGTGTGCACAAACTGGGGGGGCAGGGGGCAGAGGGAGAGGGAGAAGCAGGCTCCCTGTTCAGCAGGGAGACCTACATGGGTCTCGATCCCAGGACCATGAGATCATGACCTGAGCCAAAGGCAGATGCTTAACTGACTGAGCCACCCAGGCACCCCAGAAAGCTATTTTCTATCATCAGAATGTCAAACAAACCTTCATGATATAGAAGGAACATATGAGGAAAACTTAAATGTGTGCTACAATGAGGGGTGCATCGATGTTTTTTAAAAAGCCATTTGAACGAGGTCTTTCAGCAGTGCTCAGTCAAGACTGGATTCAGGTCCTCTGGACATGGAAGACAAGTGATTTTCCTTCTGTTTGTAACATGATGGAATTATATTTAAAACAATAGTATAGCAGAAATAAAGGAAGAGAATTATAGTGTAGTAATAGTGTAGGTTTTAAAATCAGAGACAGCTGTGTTGGGGATCTGCTGGAGAACTAACTAATTGTGTGACCTCAGCAGGTTTCTTAAATCTACAATGCTTTCGGTTGAGGACATCATAAAATGGGAATAATACATTACTAAAGCACAACATGATGTGAGGATGAAGTAGTGTAATGTATGTATGTAATATACACGTATAAATATATAATGTTACATAATTCTAATTATGCAAAAAACTTACTCGTGTTTTCTGTATATCAAAAATATCCATTTTCCATATTTCTTTTTCTTTTTGAATTGTTCATTTTGCATTACTTATTTTCCAAGTTGTTATCATAATGTTATATTTTCAACTTTGCTCACATGTAACAATTATCTGTAATTATCATGTAACAATTAAACTGTGACAATTATCTAAAATGCTACAGACCTCAGAGTTGTCATTTCAATTCAGAATAATCCATGGAATTGACACCCAAAAATTGCCTGAATCATTACATAGTTGAACATTTATTCTATTTGTAAATATATATATCAGCATACTCAACACTCTCGTTATCTAATGCTTTTTCATATTTTAAATGTTTCCCTCAGTATAAATTTCCAAAAGTAACAGCATAGTGCATTCAGTTTGCTGCTCTTGGCTTTATTATTTATTAGCTATATGACATTGAGTAAGTTAATTACCTTCTACATATCTCAGTTTTCTCATGTGTAAAGTGGAAGTGATAATAACAAGTTATCATATATAGAATAATTAAACCAGCATCTTGCACATAGTAAGTGCTATATAAATAAAGTTAAATGCTCATTAAACGGTTTAATGGTATTTAAGACCACATATTTCTAAAATAGTTATTATAAGTTACTGCCAACAGCTATTTTAATTTTATTTTCCTTTTAAACATGGATTTTATATTTCTAATGTGTTAATTGAATACAGATTTTTAAGAGTTATAATTATTAGTCTTGTTTTATGAAATTCACAAATAGAATCATGAAGATGGGGACTTTGATTTACTTGCTCTGACTAACCAGCGTAAAAAGGAACACCTAGTACATAGCTCTATAAATATCTGTAGAAAGTATGAATGATTGTGGAAATCCTGGCTCTATCTTGGGCTGGAAGGCAGAAATACCTGATTTTGTAGATCAGCTAGGATGCAATTAAAGGGAAGAAAGGGGGCATATTTTATGTTCACAGAAAGCCATTCCAAATAAGCCAATTTGGATACTATAGGTTGTAGGCCCTTGTTCTGCAAACGAATCTTCTTCAATTTTTTTTGGTTTTATTTTCTATTGAATTTTTTTGAAACATTGCAAAATTGGGGAGACAGGGAAAGTTTTACATTTTTTAATTCATCACTGTATCAAAGTGTATTGTACGTATTCATGATATGATATTTGTTGAACTCTGCTGATGATCATGTTTAATTTATTCTTTACCCTATATCCAGGTAAACCGGTTATGATTGTCACAGAATACATGGAGAATGGTTCCTTGGACAGTTTCTTACGTGTAAGTAGAAGATTTTATATATATTAATATATCTCTTATCCCTATCTATATCTCTTATCCCTCTACCTATACATATATATGCATAAATATGGAATGAATTGCTAAAAATGTTAGAGGCAATTAGATAACAAAGTTTAAAGTAAAACTGAAATTTGGAGGGGGGGTACTAAATAGTAAGAGGAAGACTAAAATTGCATCTTTATCTTGCAGCATCCAAAGTTAATGATTTATATTTTTTTTATTTTATTATGTTATGTTAATCACCATATATTACATCATTAGTTTTTGATGTAGTGTTTCATGATTCATTGTTTGCGTATAACAACCAGTGCTCTGTTCAGTACATGCCCTCTTTAATACCCATCATCAGGCTAACCCATCCCCCCATCCCCTTCCCCTCTAGAACCCTCAGTTTTTTTCTCAGAGTCCATAGTCTCTCATGGTTCATCTCCTCCTCCGATTTCCCCCCCTTCATTTTTCCCTTCCTGCTATCTTCTTTTTTTTTTTTTTAACATATAATGTATTATTTGTTTCAGAGGTACAGGTCTGTGATTCAACAGTCTTACAAAGTTAATGGTTTATATTTTTAAAACAAATTTGTGCAATCTTCAGTCTTTTTATACTGCCAAGATTCACATTAGTTAAAATAAAAATTTTAAAAAGACCCATAAATTAAGACATAAGTAACATTGTTGTAAGACAAATATTCTCTTTTCTTCATTGAAAGTAACCTCAGAGTGCTATTAGGTAGAAGACCATCTATCTCTCACATAGAGCTTTTGTCTCAGAAAATAAGCAAGTATTATAATTTCAAAGTTTTCTCAATTCAGAGATATCATTTGGTGATATATATGCATCTATACATATTTTTTAATTTTTTCAGCAAATATTTGTTCAAAGATATGTGAAAGTTTTATGGAGAACAAGACACTGCCAATCACCAATCACTGCAAGGGATAAAAAAGACATATACTCTGTCTTTAATATGCTTGCAGTGCTATAAAATAGATATAGATAGATGATAGATAGATAGATAGATAGATAGATAGATAGATAGATAGATAGGAAGCATAGTATAATTCATTATCATGGAAGAAACTTTTAAATTTTCTATAATGAGAAGGTATTTATTTTAATATTCACGAGGCAAATACAAATTTTATCAGCAATTATTTTCCCAAACATTTCAAAAACAAATATTTTTTAAATCAGGTAATTAAAATCATTATAATAGATATTCTTTTAAATTGTTATTGTGTAGATATAACTAAACATGGAATTTTATATCTATTTATCTATATATACATTTATGCACATATGTACATCTGTATGTATCTATTTACCTATTTATCATATAAATCATATATTTGTATTTTAATCCAAGTAAATTGGAAGCTTTTCTAAATACAGATCTCTGACTTTGTGTTTTATTGTTTTCCATTTTATGACCTATAACTCAAGACTGAGTAGAAAACGAATATTCAGTAAATATTTTTGACTAATTCTGAACTATTTATTTATGGTGATAATTTAAACATTTAACATCCACCTTCTTTGAAGCAATTAATAAAACATCTGAAAAACCAGAAGGAAGAATGGACATTCAATCAAATAAATATGTAAAACTAAAATAGCCACAGGAGTCATTTCATTTTGTTGTTCTTGAATTTAAAATTTCTGAGGGGTTTGTATGTCACAAAAAGACCAGGAAAGATCTAGTTTTGAACCTGAAGTCAGAATGCTAGGACACTCCTTGTAATGAAGTATTTAGTAATGTAGCTACTGTGCTGTTTTGTTTTAGCCTTGTATCTATTTATTCACATATCTTGTTAGGCTGGAGTGCTTAGAACTAAAATGTATATAGTCAGTCTTTTTACAGTTCAGTATGTGAGATTTTAACCAAGATATATCTTTAAGGAAGAGCAACACATCTTAATTGTGTATTTGAAATACTTCTCAGAAACACGATGCCCAGTTTACAGTCATCCAGCTAGTGGGGATGCTTCGAGGGATAGCATCTGGCATGAAGTACCTCTCAGATATGGGTTATGTTCACCGGGACCTTGCTGCTCGTAACATTTTGATCAACAGTAATTTGGTGTGTAAGGTTTCTGATTTTGGACTTTCACGTGTTCTAGAGGATGATCCAGAAGCTGCTTACACAACAAGAGTAAGTCACTTTTTCTTTTTCTTTTTTTCCTTTTCAATATGTTTTTCACCTTGTGTTATGTTGACTTGCAAATAAATAGAAATCACGTCTCTCAATGTTTTGTCAATTATATCTTCCCCTGAAGGAAATGTATCCTTTAACATTAAACTACTGTTACTTCTTCTGGGAAGATAGATGATCACTGTTTATAAGGTGGGTAATGATGGTAATTCTGAAATGTCATACATCTGTTTAATGTGTCCCCCACAAATGCAGCATGGTTCTCTCATGTCTGAAGTCTTGGGATTTTTAAATTTACCCATTTTTGCATCTGATTGAGCTACCTTTAGTAAACGGATTGGATAAATTCTCAGCTCCTCCGTCCAACTAGATATAATTTTAAAGCATTTTAAAATTCTGTTTACCTAAACAACATATGCTCACGTTATAAAAATTTCAAAACAAAGCAATAAAAAGGAGAAAAGTCATCCATAATTGTGCCACCCACAGAGAACATCTGTAACTTTGTCAATTGATACTTCCAGATTTTTTCTGCATACCTAATATACACACCTATGCATGAATACATAATTAGAATAGGATTATTCATAATATTACTGTATAACCTGTTTTTCTCTTAGCAATATACCTGTTGAATATATTTCACTGTCAATAAATAATCTTCAAGTTTTCATTTTTGTCAGTTTTATCTATTCTATTATCTGGTTGTACCATTTTTTTAAAAATCAACCTCTAATTATTGGGCAAATTATTATTATATCTAGCTTTTCTTTCATTTTTATCATTTTATTCTATTATTCTTTAATTTTTTTCATTATGGTAAGTGTACTCTTTAATCCCCATCTCCCCACCCAGGTACCCACTTGTAACTATCAGTTTGTTCTCTATAGTGAAGAGTCTGTTTCTTGATTTGTCTCTTTCTCTCTCTCTCTTTTTGTCCTTTGATTGTTTGTTTCTTAAATTCCACATACGAGTGAGATCGAATGGTGTTTGTTTTTCTCTGACTGACTTATTTCACTTAACATTGTGCTAATTCTATACCTGTTGTTGCAAATGGCAAGATTTCATTCATTTTATGGCTTAATAATATTCCAGTGTGTGTGTGTGTGTGTGTGTGTGTGTGTGTGTGTGTGTGTGTGTGAGATATACCACTTCTTCCTTATCCATTCATCTATCAGTGGACATTTGGGCTGCTTCCACAGTTTGACTGTTGTAAATAATACTACAATAAACATAGCGGTGCATGTATCCTTTTGAATTAGTGTTTTGTATTTTTGGGGTAAATACCCAGTAGTATGATTACTGGATCATAGGGTAGTTCTATTTTTAATTTTTTGAGGAACCTCCATACTTTTTTCCACAGTGAATGTGCCAGTTTGCATTCCCACCAACAGTGTAAGAGGGTACCTTTTTCTCCACATCCTCGCCAACACTTGTTGTTTCTTGTGTTGTTTATTTTAGCCATTCTGACAAGTGTGAGGTGATATCTCATTGTAGTTTTGATTTGCATTTCCCTAATGATTACTGATGTTGAGCATCTTTTCATGTGTCTGGTGGCTAATTGTTTGTCTTCTTTGAAGAAATGTCTGTTCATATCTTCTGCCCATTTTTAATTATATTGTTTTTTTTGTCTTCAGTTGTATTAGTTCTTTATATATTTTGAACACTAACCCCTTATGGGATATGTCATTTGTAAATATCTTCTGCTATTCAGTAAGTTGACTTTTAGTTTTGTTAATTGTTTTCTTTGTTGTGCAGAAACTTTTTATTTTGATGAAGTCTCAACAGTTTATTTTTGCTTTTATTTCTCATCTCAGGAGACATATCTAGAAAAATGTTGCTAAGGCTGATGTCAGAGAGATTACTGCCTGTGGTCCCTTAAAGGATTTTTATGATTCCAGGTCTTACATTTAGGTCTTTAATCCATCTTGAGTTTATTTTTGTGTATGATGAACGAATGTTATTCAGTTTCATTCTTTTGCACGTGGCTGTACAGTTTTCCCAACACCATTTGTTGAAGAGACTGTCATTTTTCTATTTATATTCATTCTCCTTTTCGAAGATTGATTGACCATATGATTGTGGGTTTATTTCTGGGTTTTCTGTTCTGTTCCATTGATCTATATGTCTATTTTTATACCAGTACCATATCATTTTAATTACTACTGCTTTGTAATATAACTCAACATCTGGAATTGTAATACCTCCATTTTTTTTCACGATTGTTTTGACTATTTGGGGTCTTTTGTGGTTCCATACAAATTTTAGGATTTTTTGTTCTAGTTCTGTGAAAAATGCTGTTGGTATTTTGATAGGCATTGCATTAAATGTGTAGATTGCTTTGGGTAGTATGGACATTTTAACAGTATTTGTTCTTTCAGTTCATGAGCATAGAATGTCTTTCATTTCTTTACATCATCTTGAATTTCTTTCATCAGTGTTTTATAGATTTCAGAGCACAGGTCTTCCACCTCTCTGGTTAAGTTTATTCCTGAATATTTTATTGTTTTTGGTGCAATTGTAAATGGGATTGTTTTCTTAATTTCTCTTTCTGCTGTTTCATTACTGGTATATAGAAATACAACACCTTTCTGTACATTGATTTTGCATCCTGTGACTTTACTGAATTCATTTATCAGTTCTAGTAGTTTTTTGGTGGAGTCTTTTGGGTTTTCTATATATAGTCCCCTGCCATCTGCAAATAGTGAGAGTTTACTTCTTCCTTATTTGGATGTCTTTTATTTCTTTATGTTGTGTAATTGCTTCTGATACTATGTTCAATTAAAGTGGTAAGAGTGGACATCCTGGTCTACTATTTCCTGACCTTAGGAGAAAAGCTCTCAGTTTTTCACCATTAAGTATGCTGTTGGCTGTGGGTTTTCCATATTAGGTTTTTGTTATGTTGAGGTATGTTCTCTCCAAACCTACTTTGCAGAGGGTTTTTATTATGCATAGATGTTGTACTTCGTCAAATGATAGCTTTTCAATATTTGATGCAAATGTGTAAATGATCCATTTGCATTCATTATTGTATGACTGATAATTTCCCTATGATATAACCCTAAAAGTGGATTTGCTGTGTCAAAAGTGGATTTCCTGTGCCCATTTTACGAGCACACTTAAGTATATACTGATAAAAATAGATATTATCGTTTTTTTGTGTTTGTTAGTTTTGAGAATTGTATCTAGTTGTTTTAATTTGTATTAATTTTTTTAAAGATTTTATTTATTTATTTGAGAGAGAGAATGAGATAGAGAGAGCATGAGAGGGGGGAGGGTCAGAG